CAAGTTCTGTCCAAAGTGGAAAATTTGCATATAACTGAGAACCTCCTATAGATTCTATTTCTAGCATAAATCAAAATTCAAAAATGGAGTATTAGCTATGATGTACCGACATTGACACATATTTCCAACACGATGCGTGTCGGATATGCGCGATTTTTCAAAAAAGTACCTACATGACACGTTGATTAAATTCTTTAAAAAATTTCATTTATATAGTAGAAATTTAGTTTTATCCATGTTATTAATTTTTCTTATGGAAATCTTTTAAATATGAGTATCTATTTGTTATTTACTAATAAATTTGAGTTTAAAATATATAATATTTTTAATAAAAAATGAAAAATGTTTATGGTAGAGTGTCTGAGGAGTGTCAGTATTGACACATGTTAGACATGTTTGACACAAAGACGCTACTCTAATTGAAGTGTCTGTGCTACAGAGAGTATTAGCCTCCGTTTAAAGAATTTATAAACAGTTTAATTTATAAATGAATAGAAATGAGTTTTAGATAAGTGGATAGTAATTGGGGGCTCCATTCGAATACGTGGTCTAAATGAATTTTGACCATTTATAAATTATTTATAAATTTTGCCAAACAAAGGCTCACATGTCTGGTTGAATGACTCATTCCATGAGAGCAAGCCAATTCAGATGGCACAAGCTTAAATCATGCTTCACTTTTCAATAGACCAGAAGCAACAACTGAAAATTAGAAGGCTCACCACAGCAGCGCATTGCAAGAAAAGCCAATCATGAGGGCAGTTATCCAGCAGATATACGAAGTCCTTTGGTACTTCCACTGAGAAAGCCTTATCGTAATAAATACAGTACCCTTTGATGGCCTTATGAAAAAATATTTATTTACGACAAGAAAGCATATATAATAAGTGAAACAGTTCAAAGAAAGAAAAAGGAAACTTACAGTTTCCAAGTCCACCCCAGCCTTTGTTGATGATCCCTCTCTGTTTAGTTATTTCTAAAGCCTGAACAATTATTTGTGTCATTTTCTCTGGGTCTTGAACAGGCTGAGATATAAGAATTGAGTTAAATTCGGGGAGATTACTGTATTCTTGGAAACAGAAGTCAAGTCAGGGAAGCTAGAGCGCACAAATGCCATTACAACATATGACAAAATAAGTAACCTAAAATGATGAAATAAAGGGCAAAACCCTAAATTGTACACAAGAAATGACAAACTATAAGATAAACAAGAATTTATGTGAAGAGTGAAAACCACACAAATTTCAGAAAAGGGGGTAGGGACACAAAGACAATGGTTGAAAGTGATACATCACATGCACATACATTCTGATAATAAACATCACTATTTTTTTAATCATAGCTATTATTATTATTAGTTTAATTTTAAAACAAATGTAGTGCCTTTTTTGTTAATATATACTTCAACACATGTAATCATAGCAAAAAATAAATTAGTACATAAATTCCCAAGATCAATAAAGGCAACATGAGAAAGGCTACTCAAAGGTTTCTCTTTCATTTTTTATTTCTAGCGGGCGGCCGGGGGTGGGGATTGGGTTTATGGGATCAAATAAATGTAAGAGAGCTCGAGAAACTTACGAGACTGCCAAACCCAATATAGATAGGTTTTGGACCAGCTTTAAGCCAGTTTGTAAGTGACTCGGGAGGTTCATAATTTGTTGCAAGATCAAGGAAGCAAAATCCAACCACATCAACCTTATTTCCCCAATCTGTCAAACAAGATATTGCTTTCAAGTTGGTAACCTTGTCAAAATAAAAATGTAATCTGAGTATGCCCAAGGAAAATGAAACGGAACTCACAAGCTGTACACTGACAAATAATTTACTTTGGGTTTGATAATAACATGTACTCAAATTTTCAGGACAGATTATTCCGAGAAAAAAAAAAATTGTCATCTTAACAAACTACCTTTTGGTTTAGGAACAAGATGAGGACTCCAAATGTATCCATGTGGAATATCTGACTCCGACACTTGTGAACCACTCAAATATGAGACAGGGCGTAGCTTTAGCTTCTTTTTCCTGAGATCGTTTACCATGTCCCGTATTCCTAGCCAAATCATTGAGTCAACAATCTGATACGATAGCTGCATAATTCATGCAAGAAATGTCACGTATGGTAAAATGCAATTAAGAAACCCCAGTTTTATGGGAGGGGAAAAAGGTTCCCTCTTCTTTTTCCATTTTAGGTTGGGGTTTGTTGGGGGAGAGGGAGAGTAAGGATGATCTGATAAATTTTTATTCTAAAAATAACAGTATCATGAGGAAAGAAAAAAGAAAATGCTTAGCAAACTCACTCTATATCCAGATGATTGCTTTACACGGGACAACGGATGAGGAAATTCACTAGTTGGCCTGGCACGAAAAAAAAAAAGAAAAAAGAAAAAAGAAAGAAAGAAATTAACATGGAATCATTTGGTTTCACTATTTAACAAGAAAATAAGTTGAGTAACATGAAGGAATTTGTTATATATTTGTCGAACTAAAAAGAGTACAACTTTCCAAGTAAAAAGATCCAGAAAAGACTTACGTCCATGGCATAGTGAAAAATATATGAATTGGTACTTCCAATGCCTCTGCAACATGTGTATGCCCTGCAACAGTTCTGCTCTAGGTTAGTATTGCATAACAGCACTTGTAAGATCTTAGATTGAGCCATGACTACACACAACAATCAACTTGAACTGGAAAAGATCAGTGCAAGTAAGGCATAAAGTGGAAGAGTTTATATCTTGGAAATTGGGAAATGGCCATATATCCTCCTGAAATGATCACTGGGCTGGAAACTCTTCATTGGCTGCAGCACATCCACATCTGCAAGGCTTAACTCACAGATTTGTGAATTTTGGGCACCTGGAGAATGGGGAATTGCTAAACTAAAAAGGGAGCTGTCGGAGCATGAGGTATTAAGGATTAGAGAAACTCCACTACAACAAGAGATGAAGGATAGATAAACTGGATAGTGGATACCATCCAGTAATGAAGAGTTTTGTGAAATCTTGCTGAGAGGAAATGAGAACTAAAAAGGCCTGTTCAACATCCTTCAAATTCCTGGGCACAAAGCCATACTTCTGAATTTCGTTTATTTGCTATGGCAACACAGGTGCCCAGTTGATGACATTGTGCAACAAAGATGTCAAATTTCCTTGGCATCTAATTAAATGCCTCAACTGGATCTGTCTCATCTTTTTTGTGCAGGGAGAAATGTCTACACAGGTATGGGATAACTACTGTTATCTATTCCAAATAGAAGACAAATACCAATGCTACCAACAAGGATAATCAGGAGACTAGAAGACAAAATTAAGTTGCTCATAAGGCTGGGTTGCTACTGAAAAATAAGTGGAAAGGGAATCAAAAGATTGTAAGTCAATATGGCAACCTATACCAATCCCTATTCCTAAAGTAATCCAAAGGCACAAACCCCCTAAAAGAACAAATAGGCTAAATACGGATGCTACAAGTCGTCACCAGGACAAGCAGCAGGAAGTGGAATAGTGAGAAGTCATGGCTAGCTGATTTTTGCTTTCCATGAATCCCAAAGTAGCTGTATAGCTTCATGGCTGAGGTAAAGGCTCTACAAAAAGGCCTCAATATACGTAAGAAAAGCAGCTAACAACATTAGAGTTGGACGTGGAC